CATATCAGCAATGATAAATAGTGATGGATCTAACACGACTTCTAGTTAATTCTGAAAATTCTGACCTATCTGCAAAAACAATCAACACGTTATCAGTGTCCTATCAAAGAGCACATTTCTACAAAGTACACATTTCTACTAATAGATAAAAATGGATGTACCTCCTCCATCATCTTTCTGTGTTCCTCCTCCATTTTCTGCAGAATTTCCAGGTGGGCTTGCGGCATGTCCTGTGCCTGGCTGCGCAGCTGCTGGAGTTGACTCTCCCTCTCCCCAGCTCGGAGCTCTGCCTGTCTCCTCTTCTGCTTTTCCCGCATCAGCTGGAGCAGTGACAATGATGAAGTGCCCAGTCAGAACAAACAGGAATGTTTTCTTAGAGTCTTCGGGTGGCGTTAAAAAATTAAACGGAAGAAATCTGAAATCTCTGCTTGTGAAGGTGTAGGTATTACGTTGGAACGAATGGGGTGTAAACAATAAAATAATAAAGAGTTAGACATTCTTGTTATCATCAGGTAGTGGGTTCCTGGTCCCAGACCCCCTCCCTCCAATCCGCTTTATCCATCATGGGGGCCGCCAGGGTGTTACACAACTTAAACATTATTTGACATTTGTGAATCACCTTCTTGTGATGTTCCTCAAGCCTCTTAAAGCCAGCCTCAAGCTGCTCACAGTTTTGGGTCATCTCCTGGAGAACAGCCCCCTTCTCCGGACCACGTGCCAGCTCCTCGTACCGCTGGCGTGCATGGTCGAGTTCAATTCTCAACTGGCTGGAGTCATACTCATCGTATGTGGGAGGTGACTCCACACGTTTCCTAGCATATAAAAAATTGATGCACATAAATGATATTATCTGGAATCGACTACAAAGAAAGCAGATCGCAAATCCCATGAACTAAATCATAATTTCTTATAGAAATTGTCTTTAGCAACAACAGGATGAAGTCATGATGTCAAAGGATTCAAGGGCCTTCTGACTTAGCACAGACTCAAGAGAAAGTTCGAAGTACCTTATCGGGTCTAACAACTGTTCAGAACGCTTCTTGCAGAAGTCCTTGGAGTGTTCTTTGTTCTGCTGCATGATGCGGAAGAGCTCTCCACCAGTAACTGTTC